AATTTCCGCTGCCGCTTGCTGCCCATTTCTGCTCGCCTGGTATTTTTTTTTGTCAAATTGATTTTTGCCGGACTTCCCGAATTTTTTGGATAAGATTTCCGGTCGCGGTAATGTAGCCTGTGCTCAGGGGCAGGAAAGCAAAAATTAAAAAAAAAATTTCCGCTGCCACTTGCTGCCCATTTCTGCTCGCCTGGTATTTTTTTTTGTCAAATTGATTTTTGCCGGACTTCCCGAATTATTTGGATACAATTTCCGGCCGCGGAAATGCAGCCTATGCTCAGGGGCAGGAAACGAAAAATTTAAAAAAAATTTCCGCTGCCACTTGCTGCCCATTTCTGCTCGCCTGGTATTTTTTGTCGGTGGGCCCCCGAAGTTGATTTTTGCCGGACTTCCCGAATTTTTTGGATAAAATTTCCGGTCGCGGAAATGTAGCCTATGCTGAGGGGCAGGAAAGGAAAAAAAAAAAAAAATGTCCGCTGCCGCTTGCTGCCCATTTCTGCTCGCCTGGTATTTTTTGCCGGTGGGCCACCGAAATTGATTTTTGCCGGTCTGGCGGAGTTTTGAGGGTAAAACTTCCGGCCGTGGGAATGGACTGCTCATGGGGTAGGAAAGGCTCTACTGATTTTTTTTTAATAATTTCCAAGTTTAGTTAACCTAGAGGGGAAATGGCTGAATTAGCTTCACACATAATATTTCTGAGTGTCCGTTTCATAAAACATTTATCAGCTTTAATTTTTACTTTATTAAAATCATCTAGACATCATACGCTTGAAATTAATCTTATTTAAAGCTATTAAATAGATGGAAGTACATAAAAATATTAAATTTATAATTCCAAGAATAAGCTATAAAACGTATAGCTTAAAATGGAAAAAGTTTTGCTAAAAGGACAAATCGTATCAAAAAATTTAAGATTTCTGTATTTTTTAATACAAAAATACATATTTAGTAGGTTCAACACTTATTTGTCTGGCTTTGGTCGTCTTTTTTTTAATTCAATTTAATTTTAAAACTTTATTTCGCATACAACGAGTTAGGGTCCATATTATTTTTATTCTTAAAACTAAATTCAGCACATTGGGACTGATTTATCCTGAATTAATTTACATCCTTAAAAGTAGTTACTAAATGTTAAATGCGCTTAAATATGACATACGCATTTAGTTACACCAAAATATCGATTGAAAAATTATATTACAAAAGTTATATGAGTCCACAAGATCGTTCCATTCCGATTAGTTGTGAGTAATTTTCAGCACGTGTATGTATGTATATGTATTTATCTTGGCGATGGCGACATTGTAGAACGCAATCGTCTACCCTTCTTCACCATCGACAACTGCTCGACGAATGCCATTGGTCTGGTTGTTGCATCCTGTTGCTCACTAGCTGGCGTCGTTGTTATAATATTCAGGACCTATTTGTAGGTATGTGAATTGTGTGCAGTTGTGTGGAATGTTGATGAATTATGTCAGTGTATGAAGTGTAGTTGGGTGTGGTGGAGTGTTTTCGATGTTTTGTGATTTGGAGAAGAAAAGAAAATGCATATGAGTTGAGTATGGCTGTCGTCTTCTCGGGTATTTTGTATGTTGAATTCTATTTGATTTTAGCGCGATTTACTTTTGAATTTCCATCGATGATTTCCACTGGCTTGGCTGGTACATACGCCGAGAGACCCATGAGACCGAAGAGCTCAGGACGGTAAAGGCTAGGCGCTGGCGTTGATGAGTTGTTGCCTGGAAAGGGGGAGTGAGTTTTCGGTTTAGTGGTTATAATTATTTTGGTTTTAAAACACTATCTAAGGAAAATTGATTTAATGGCGCAAGTGCGTGGTCGAGCTTCTCCACCGATTTGTGACGTGCGCCTTGATGTTGTCACACAAGGGGGCGGGACCTACAGTTTTATGCCGACTCCGAACGGTGATTGTATTTTAGAGGAGATTTGCCATTGCCTGCCGAGGGGCCACCGCTATTAGAAAAAACTTGTTATATTTTATTATTTGATGTTTTTCGGAAACTAAGCTTGAACCTAGGCCCGGCGGAATGGTAGCGCGCACTGCGGCCACTACACCACAGCGGCCGCACTCTTTAAAAATTAACACTCAAATATTTTTCATATTATTTGCAAGCGAAGCAATTTTTAATACCTTTGCTGCAATTATGCCAATACTATTTGTAAGTCTAAATGAGAAACTAGGCCAAACGATACCAGGAGATCGAGATTGTTGACGACGAGCCCTAAAGAAGACTTAATAGCTCACTTTTTAGATCCCGATTAATCGACGTTAGGGCTTTTTAAGAGGGATTCGATAATAACGCTAGGAAACTCTAAGGTAAATTAGAACTGATGACAGCCAGATAAAAAACGACTGAAATATGAATTGAAGAACCAGACCAATAAGATAAAGAGCAAACTTTATAAAGTGGAATTTTGAATGTATGTTTTTTTCTTTGAATACAAAGAGAACGCATCGAAAGCCTAACTCCCGCAGAGTGGAACTTCAATCCGAACTAAAACTCCTTGTCTATCAGCTGTACTGTATACCCGCCCGGTACTACTGTTTGGTATTTCGTCGGGAGGCGCTTTTGGGCACTAAGCTCTATCGCACGTTTCTGTCTTAGCGCAGCTCGTCGTAAGCTGCACCTGCTTGCATCTCGAAAAGATTCCGAAGTCTTGGCGCGCTAGCCAGAAAACTTTTAAATTAGCTAGTTGTGTCGCCTTTAAGGGTATAAATAATACTGGTCCGCGATATTCAACCAGTTTGGACCACTAATCGGCATAGCATTCGGAAGAGGAAAGTGTACGATGTTCTCAATGTGAAAGAAATAGCGACGAAATCCGCACATAAAATATTGCCCAGCCTTATAGTTTACATTTTGAGTAAAAAATGAATTTTATAATCATCAATGCCGTAGTAACTGGTATGATTTCATATTTTTATCCACAAGGATTTTTTTCAGTTATGCTGTAGTAACATTTGCGATATCGCAATTCTATCGACGAGGGGAAATATTTCTCTTCACTTGGATAATTGTTGATTGGAAAAAACAGCGAAGTCCACCCCTGCAGGAACTTGCTTGCATCCGAGCTTACTCTCTTTTTCAAGTTGATACAATGATAAATACATCTAGTTTACTATCTCATTTGTTTTTGGAGAAATAAAAATGAAACGTAAAATTTTTAAATACACATAACTAGTATTAGTTAGATCAAAGGAATATAATACATAGCAACGAAAATTAAACTTTCATTTTACGGAGAAGAATCGCATTATTTTAGTAAGTGGTTTTAGTCGAATCCGGCATCGTATGCAAAAATAAAGAACGCGAAATGAAATAAAAACCAAAAAGCTATACGGAAATGATCCCTAAACAATGATTATAAATACTCGTCAAAATTACAAAATAACACCAATAAATCCGAGCAACTTTATCTTAACTGATCGATAGCTATTAATTTATCCCATCTTGTGCGTTGTGCGTCGTAATCCGATGAACTATTATAGCTTTGTACTGAGCCAAGTAGGATTGTTTCATTTTATCCCAGCGCTGTAAGACAAACTATCCTAATTCAGATGTGCCTATTTTTCAGCTGTTAAGTTATGGAGCAAAGGAGTTAAGGCATGGCTGAGTAACAATAGTTTGTCTGACAGCGCTGAGAAAAGAGTTTAAGATATGATAAATTGATGGCTATCAATCAGTTGAGAAAAAGTAACTCGGGGCCATCAAAATGAGCAAAGTAAAGAATCGTGACTGGAATCTGGGTATACCATACGTCTTGTACGGACGGGTAGAAAATTGTAGTTTTTCCTTGAAAAAGATTTGGTTTTAATGGCGCTATTGGAGTAAGTAATAATTTCCAAGAATTTGCGAAAAGAGGTATGTATGTTTTTTGACTTCATGCCATGGTCGGAAAGAGAGTAAAATAGAAGTCAAAACGTAACATTTTCTTAACTTTTCTTTTTGACACTGAAATGCTTCTAGATCAAGATGCATTTCTGCCTCAAGAGGAAAAGTTTTACAAAAATGCCGCCTAAGTTTTTTTCACGGTTAGGTCTCGATATCTCCCCGATGATATCGTCGTTAGATATTATGTTACATATGTAGATGTAGATGCCTTTAACTTACCATTTCCAGGTGTTGGCCTCACTATGAAACGCGCAGTTTTCCTTAAGCCAGGCGGTGCTGCAGTGGTCGTGCTAGTCGTGGCCAACGTACGTTGCGGAAAGAATAGCGGCTGCGGCGTCACTACATATACTTTCTCGTGAGTTTTTGGTGAAATGGACACCTTTGCTTTACGCCAAAGTTCTGCCGGTTCTGGTTCTGGTTCTGGTTCTGGCTCTGACTCAGACTCATAGGTTTCGGAACTGAAGTGCATGAAATTCGGTGCAGCGTGGCCGTTGCTATTTAGCGGATGCTGTGTCGTTGTGCGGCTCGTTGTCACAGATTTCACAGTCGCCGTTTCACTCTCTAGTGTATCCAACAAACGATTATCAACTGTGTCGTCTATTTGATTTAGCTCGAAACGCTTTGAACCGCGTTCCAAAAGCAACGCTTGCAATTCGTTAATTGATGCCGGCACCACGGAGGATTCTTCAAAGAAACTGATTGTGGTCTTAGGTCGACGAGGTGATGGTGTTGTTGTGGTCAGATATTCGGTAGGTATGTGTTTGGAACGGCCACGTATTGTGGGCGTGCTGGGTCGATGCGAGAGCGAAGTATATTCTTGCTCCGTCCAGTCGTCGATATTCTTCTGCAACTTTGATAGGTCGAAGCTGGAAGAGTTTACCTTGTGCTGTCTGACTTCATGCTCGCGTCGCAGTAGATCGCGCAAATTGGAGGCAAGTATTTTCGTTATGTATTTTGTGGTGCGTCGTGGTGGTGCATGAGTTGGTGCCTCTGTAGCCAACTGTGCACTCACCACTTTTGATTCTTGTTGTTCGTGTATGTCGATGCTGTTCTGCTGTGCTGACCACTTTTGGAATGCGCTGTTGAACTGCGTATTCGGATTGCCAGTAGCCACTATACGTGTCGGTTCGAAAGGTCGTGGTTTATTTTTTGTGGTGTACGGAATGATGATTTGGTGTACGTCTTTGTGGCGCGCGGGTGGTGGCGGTGTAGGTGGCGACATGCCAGCGTATTGACCGCTTGCGTCAATGGCACTATAGGTGGACGTTGGTGTAGGTGCAGCAGCCATAGCAGTATTTGTTGTTATGGGAGGCAGTGGCGTCACCAACCATGGTCCGTTGTGAGAGAACGTATCCGCGGGATTGTGCTTGTGATTGGAATGACGTTCGGGCGTTACAAAGGATACGGATGGTGATCGGAGACTCAGTTCGCTTGGGTCGCGTGTGAATGGACGCGGTTGATTTTGTAAACCTTGCACATGCTGTATGGGTGAATCTAGAAAACGCTTTGGTGTGTCGCGACCGCCCTGCTTCACCCCTTGATGTCGGTTTGGTGTTTGTGTTTGTAGAGAAGGTGAAAATTTTACTTGTGTGGTTCCCTGAGCACGTTCAGTAATGAAGTCCACCTCGCCGAGTTGTGCCAATTGCGTTGAAAAGTCGAATTCTCGCGGCGTCTCAGTGGTGGTATATGGAAACGTTTGTGCCACCGGCAGCCAAGGGTTGTAGTGCTGGTTTTGTTGTTGATTTTGCACTTCAGTTAGATTATGTGTGGATGCGGATGGAAAGTTATCTTCTCCTTGAGGCTCATAAGGTCCCCTCTGGGGTTCATAATTGTGCTGCGGGTATTGAGTTTGAGGTGCGTATGGCGTTGTGTAGAATGTTGTGGATGGCTCGTACGTTTGCGGAAATTGTGAGAACTCTTGTTGTTGTTGTTGCTGTCGGGAAGTATCGGACTGCTGATGTACTTGCGGCTGCTGTTGAATTTGTGGCTGAGTCTGTGTTTGCCCATACGCGTGTGTGTTCTGATAGAACTGCGTTTGTTGCGTCTGCTGTGGCTGCTGAGTCTGTTGGGTCTGCTGCTGCGTACCAGCGAAGCTGCCCAATTCGGTAAGCAGCTGCGATGCAGGCAAATGTTTGTGCAAGTTAGGACTTAAAGTCTGATGCTGGTATTGTACTGTGGCTACACTCTCCTTGACTGGTGCTTGATTTACTAAATCGGTTGGCTGACCCAAATCTATAGAAGGCGATTGCTCGTAGCTTATAGGATACTCAACTGACGAGACGAAATCTGTTATTTGATGACTTTTCACAATCTCAAAGCTGGGATCGGGGTCTCGGTTTGGTGGTGAATGTGTCTGTACTGGCCTCACACGATCCGGTTGCAGCTCCGAGTGAGCGCCAATGTTTTCGGCGAAGTGTGCTGGCTCTGTTGAGGGCAATTGTTGCTCACTGTTCAGCACGGATTCCGTGGTAGTTGTTGTTGTTGTGGAAATCGCAGGCGTCAAATATGGCAGCCGAAATTGTTGCGCATTGTAGATGGGCGGCAAAGCGGTCAGGCTTAGGTTTGGTATAGGTATTGGTAAGAATGGTGCTGCTGCGGGTGCATTCGCCGCTGGTGTTTTGTAAGCTCCGGGCTGCGGTTGATATGCTGTGGGAAAATTGAATTTCACTGCGCGTTGTCTGACAAGCGCTAGTTGTAAGCCGCCTTTGTCTAAAGGCGAGGCTTGCTGCTGCGCATATTTCTGTGATGCCTGCGCTTCGACGAGCTGATGTGGCACTATTTGCGCATAGTGATTATTTCCATTTGCTGCTGCTTGATATTGCAGTCCCGGTGGGAACATAGGCACCCAGGGATATTTGTTGCAGAGGTTACACGGCTTACCATCCGGTCCCAGCGGCGGCGGATAATTGTATGTTTGTTTACTGTCGGAAGAAAAACCGTTGGCTAGTTGATTTTGATCTGCTGCTCCAAGGCCAAACCAACGTGCTACGCGTGTCATAAAGCCGGGCGTTTCGGCGACACTGCTGGAGCTGTGACTAGGCGCCGCTATGGCTTCGACTGTTTGGTGCGCAGGCGCACTTTGATGTTTGAGATGTTGTGGTGTGGGCAAGGGAGGTGGCACCAGATAATCTGCAGGAAAGTGTTGATTCTGTTGTATACCTAGCGCAAGTGGCAACAGCGCTGATATACTAATGGCAAGTAGGGTGAGCAGGCACACATTGTGATTGGGTCGCGTTCTTCGCGTCTGTAAGAAATTAAGAAAAAATTAGCTAGTAAATAACTAGTATATAAAATAAATTTTAAATATTGTTTAATATTGTATATTTTCGCTTTACATTTTTTTTATACTCGTATACTTTTTTGAAGTTATCCAAGGTCATGAATACGATTTAAGTTTCATAGATTGCGGGACAGAATTCTATTTTTTCCAATCAATTGTATTGCATTAGGTTTTAAATGGATGAGAGACCAAATATCAAGTGCATGGGCTGCTGACTCCTTTTAAGGCTAATGCCAAGGTTTTTTGTTTTATCGAAACAAAACTATTTAAGTAGTACAGTCATGCTAGACTTACAGTAGAGCTTTAGAATATTTTTCAAGGGTTAATGCTACATACTATGTACGTCTGTAGGTACATTAGGGTGCATCACCAAAAAAAAAAGTTACGGGTTTTCCACCAGAATTAAAAAAATTATTATATTTACAGAGTCCAGCCAAAATATTAAGATTCACGTGAGCTAGTTCCATTTGAAAATATGTATGACCAAAAATCTTCTTATTTTAATTCCGTTGTTAAAATTTTAAACACTTTTATGCAGAGCTCTAAAACTTAAAACCTTCTATCATCTGAGATGCTTTTGTTAGAAAAAATATTTTTAAAAATTAATTCTATTTACAAAATACTCGATTTCCTAGTTATTTTCAAATCGGTCCAACTTTTTTCCAAAATATTTTTGCGGAAGTCTTAAAATATAAAAATTTTTTAATTCCGATGGAAAAACAGTATCGATTTTTTATTTTTTGTACAGAGAGTGATGCATCCTAATGCACACATATCAAATGCATGCTTACATATAATTTCCTTATAAAAATATTAAAAGGCACCGGCATTTTTATTGCAGATTTATGAAAATTTAAATTAATATGCCATTTCATAATGGACGTGTTGCCCAAGGCAATCGTACACAGCCGAATTTGTTCGTGCATCGAAGTAGGCTTCAACATCGACAAAGAGATGCTGACTGTCGATCATATTCTCGCGGGCATTTCCAAAATTTGGCGGTTGGTAAATACCTGGTCTATGTAGAATTTATCAAAACTAACTAAGGCTATTTTGATAAGGTTCAGTCACATCATTGGAGCTGGGCTTTGGCCTTTCACGCAAGACACTCGGTGAGCCCTTGTACATAGTCGATGCTAAGAATGCTGCTCGCGCGATAGTTGGCTGCCATATGGGCCAGCCTTGTGAAACGGAGCACACATAAATTCCAATCAGCATGGACACTGTCAACAAAAAAAAAAACTTTCAAAAATTAACTGTATTTTGTAGCCACTTGAAACTTGCACTTAATTTTTATCAAATTGCATGAGCTACAAAACTGCATACCCGAACATTTTCGAAAAATATTTTCACCTAATTATCTGTTGGTCATTAGGACATTAGGATAGTGCACCCCTATGTTAATGTTTTTTAATTTCTATAAAATGTTGAAGTCGGATTTACATGGATGTTGCGACTTATATATTTTTTTAAATAAATAAATATTAAATTAAGAAAGGAAAACTGTAAATACTAAGGAATCAATGGGTGCGCNACAGTAAATTAAGAATGCGAGGCTCTAAACTGGAATTCGCGCCAACAAAATATGTAACAAATATGCTAATAGCAACTAACGTAAAGCCATTTCGCCTCCGGCAACAACGAATTTCACTTTCCCAATCACGAAACAACTTTCTGCATTCATTTGCTATCCTCCGAACCACGATGCGATCAAGGAAAGCGATACAACAGCCTGCAAGCTTTTTAGTTGCCTGCCTAAACTCGCTCATCTGCTTGTCTGTCTGCCTTAATGGCTTGACCAACCAACAGCCCCGTCAGCACTCTGCGACACAATAATGCGGCAGCCGTAATATAAATTAAGTGATTTTAAAATTTTAGAGCAAATTTTTTTACACTCAACATATGACCGTGAAAAATAACCAAAAGTCAACATGACAAACATTTTTTGCCACGGCTCATTCAATTCGATTCGATACGAATTGTCGCGCAATGAAGCGTATTAAAGCGCGCTGACAAGCCGATCGCTGGCAAGCCGATCGCTGGCTTCTCAACTGTCCACTGCGTAAACCAACCAAGCGGTCAAGCTTGAAAAAAGCGTAAATAAAAGCGTTTGTAAAGCGCAAGTGAGCGAGTATTGGAAGTTGATCCGGTTTCCGCTGAATGGCTGTCGCGTGGCCACTTTTTGCCGTTTGTTTTATTTACTATAGACGTGTATCAACGCAACATACGAATACGTTTACTGGTTGGCTAGGTCAGTTTTTCATGTTTTCCTTTATTTATTTGTTTTTTATTATACTCGTAGTTTTTTTTTTATGAAAATATTTGAGGGTTTACCCTTTATTGGCCGACTTTAAGGTTGGGATCTCGGCGGTTGGCTAAACTTAATGACGCGTGTGTTGCATATATTAAAAAATAATTAAATATTTTTCTTAAATTTTTAGTGTGCGCCTTGATGTTGATACACAAATGGGGGACGACCACCGTTTTACGTCGCCTCCGAACGGCAAATTGATTTTATAAGAAGGCAGAAATAGACTTGCAGGTTTGCCATTGCCTGCCAAAGGGCGAACCCCTGTATGGAAAAACCCCTTTTCTATAATTTTTTTTGGTACTTTTTTTTTTTGACCGAACCTTGGTTCTACGGTGTGATGGTACGCACCAGAGATTGGCGTGCGAGTAAATATTCAATCGCGATCCTGTATATTTAAAACATTTTATCTCCATGTATTTAAGCGCAGATGTACAATAAATAAATTGGCCTGTAGCTATAGTCAATATTAAGTCGACTTAAAAGTATTAGCAGCGTTTTGACGTAATTTTCAATGGAATATGTGTAATAAAATTCGCTGCAACAAACTTTAGAGTCGGCTTAAATTTCACTACAACTACAGGCCACCGTTGTTTTATATTTAAATCGTGTTAAATTCACATGGCTCTTAAAACCATTTTTTGAGAAAATAAGTCTGAAATATTCAATCAGTCTCTATAGATTTGAAGGCGGATGTGCATTAGTACAAATATCGTTATTCACATAGCACTTAAATTAATTTTAAAGAAAATAAGCCTTATCATGAGTTTTATTTTACCCGAACCGGTTCACTTTTCACTTTTTTTTTCCATGCATTTACTATGGGTGGAAGAAAAATTTTCGGGTGAATTTTTTTCGGACGAAACTGAGAAGAAGGCAGAATATGTTTGAAACATTTTGTAACAATCTCCTGTGGCAACGCAATTAGATATTTGTATATGCATAAATATATCCTTTTCTCGGATATTCAACGTACATACCTTCGTCATACTGAAATATCTACATACATACATCTCCTGGTTATTGTGTTTTCTTTTCAGAAGTCGTGGATTTAATCGGGTGTGTCGGAAAAGAATTTTCGTATCGTCCCGCCCGCTATTTTTTTTTTAAACCTTCCCGATACCACCCATCCCGGCCACTTTGTAAATTAGTACCGCGGGTCTCGATATCCCGCGCCCATCTCTAGTACGCACCTCTAACCACTCGACGACAGCGGCAGCGGCAGAAATTTCGAAATGCCCCATGTCCAGAAATCTCGGTATTACAGCTCCGATATCCCGAGATTTTTACTAATCTATGTATTTACATAATCAGGCAAGCTCTAGAGTCCGAGTGAAGGTGAAGTTGAAAACGAAAAAATAAGCTCACGAGCATTGGACATAAAAAAATGAGAAATACAGAACACCAAAATTTGGATTGTAAGTCAACTTGAGTCATTTGCAATCGGAAGTGAATTTTAGGCCTGTGTTGCCTGTGTTAAACGAAAAATCCGGTAGCAATTGAAAACACAATAAACTTTTACACTTTTATGGCAAGAGTTGTTCTTCATTCTACTTTGCCGGCGTGGTTTTGTGGTAATTGAATTTCTACAAATATGAATAACAATTAATATATTTACATGAAATTTAAAATATTTTAATGCATAAGACCAAATGTGGCGACAATGAATCTGCAAGCAAAGAGCTCGGAAAAAATTTTATTAAGTCGAAATCTCGATAAATGCCGGTATAAGAATTTTTCGCATGCGAAACCTCGGGATTGTAGAAATGCCTCGGGATTCAATCCCCCAGTATGTACGTACAAATCTACATACATACATATGTATATAGTTTGCACATGTTCCCGTCAGGCACCTCTTATCACATGATTCATCGATACTTGATAGTAAAATACTAAGAAATTGATTGCTTATCAAAAAAGTTCTCAAAACAGATCGAGAAAAACATATACATACATATATATTATACTACATCATATGTATGTATGCAGGAATTATAAATCTTATACAGTGACTTATCAGTAGAAAGTGTGCTTCACAAAACGGAAGAAGGAAAGACATATCTGAGATAGGAATCAATAAGTGGTAATTTAGTAAATAAAATTCGAGAAGTTGCAATTGGTCGACATGTACTTAAATCTTATCAATTCCGGCGATCAACGTGCAATCGTAAATGCATTATGTCAGAAGTGACAAGAGTAGTTGAGAATATGATTGAAATTATGTTTTAATTTACATATGCATGTACATAAGCACGCAACTTTTTAATGTTTTTAATAAAGGGAGATTGCGTAGCATCGATACGGTATGCTTTACATTTTTCTTTAGTTATTTTTTGCATTTTAAAAACCAAGTGTATAGTCCCAGGGTCTGAAGATTACAGTGGTAGTGCACAAACCTTACCTAACTGAATGCTTTAAAAGACATGGTACATACATATATACATATATATCTAAATTTTTACTTTAAAAATTTCATGTACCCTATTTTTTGTGTTCTTTGGAAACAATGCTTGATGTAAGAGTATCACAAAAAATCAAAGTTTTTTAACTAAAACAAAGCTTTCGCTTTTTTAAATAGAGTAAAAAAGATCGGAACTAAGAAATTGACACGGAGAAACGTTAAAGTCATTTCTGAAATGTCAATAAGATTTCAATA